TTTTTATCATTTGGCTCCTAATGGAAAATTATAAAGGGATAACTCAAACATTATACAATTTCAGTTATTTTATGACTCATACACTTTCTAGTATCTTAGAAAACACACCTGTGATATTGTCAGCTTGGCAGGATCTAGAATTCCTTGGGGGAGGAGCCGCTACCCATGACTGTGAGGATCATTTAGATGAGTCAGCCTCTGGATGTGTCAGTAAGGGATGATCTGTGTGAGGTTAAGTGAGGTGAGAAGACACACCTTGAAAGCGGTATCCTAGACTACATAATTTGGAGAAAGCTAGCAAATGAAAATGAGCAAGCAACTCTCCCCTTGCTACTGCAGACAGTGTGGCCATCAGCCCCAAGCTCCTCCCACCATGACCTCTTCTTGTGGTGGAAAGACTGAACACTAGAAACAAAAGCAACAACAAACATTTCCTTCCTTCCGTTGCTTTCTCAGCTATTTTCCCTAGGAACAGGAAGATTAATACATTATCATACAGCCATCTGTCCTTGATTTTTAATTTAATTCTATTTTTCAAACATCATATTATGATTTAGGTTAATTTACATTTATTGAGGCTTGTTTTATGGCCAGGAGTATAGCTTATGCCAATAAACGTTCCCTGGGCGTGTAAGAATTCTCTTGTCATTGGGAAGACTGTTGCATAAAACTGAGACCAAGTGGGTTGTGTGTCAAGATTCATAAAACCTGAGGGAGTGGATGTCAACTCAGGAACAAACCAAATACTGGAGTATGGATGGTGTACCATAGAGCTTCAGCTGGTTTAGGAAGATCAAGAAAGGCAAGGGTTTATGAACGTAAAGTGGAGAAGGTCGGAGAGGCTGTTTTGAAACATCCTTGGCTTCAAGGATCAGTGACAAATAATGTCAGTCTATAATTGAAGAGAAAGTTAACCAACAGATGTACTCTCGGGAGCATTGTGTGTGTGTGTGTGTGTGTGTGTGTGTGTGTGTGTGTGTAGGGTCGTGGTGCACCTTGTACACAAATACACTCTTCAAAGGACACTAGGAACCATTTTGGCCATGTTTGTGTAAATGAAAGCCGTAACTTCAAGGGACCTTGATTCCGTTAAAGTTTAACTGTCTCCATTTTGATTCTGACAGCTTTCCCAGTAGATATGTTGTGTGATTTCACTATACACTGTTGCTGTTCTGGGTTTGTTCTGTTATTGAGATTGAAAGCATTTGTATGTGATGGTGGGTTTGGCTGGTTTTTTTTTTGTAATTGTTCTAGTAGGCTTTTCCCTCCTTCGTGTCCAAAGCTGGACTTCATTAGGATTATTTTTAGTTTGTTTTAGTCTTCAGGGAGGGTTTCACTATACACTTCTAATTGGCTTCAGTCTCACAGACATGCAACTGGCTGTGCCTCCCCACTGCTGGGATGCCTTACCACGACCAGCAAGGTTTATTTTCAGTTGGGGACTTGCCCTCTGTATTATCACTGGCAGTGTTGTGTGTCCCCAGTCTGCCCTCCATTATCACATCAACCTGAGTCTTGTTTTCATTATCGTGAGGATGGGCACCTTTAATCTGCGAGGTTATTGAACTTGAACATATTTTCTCTAGTTAACACTGGATCTGACTTCTTTTCAAATCTAAGCTGGCAATCTATAATTTAGGGGTTTAGCACATTTACTAACATGATTAATGGTCTAATGGTCATAGTAGGAAAGTCTATTATGGTTTTTTTTTTTTTTTTCGAGACAGGGTTTCTCTGTATAGCCCTGGCTGTCCTGGAACTCACTCTGTAGACCAGGTTAGCCTTGAACTCAGAAATCTGCCTGCCTCTGCCTCCCAAGTGCTGGGATTAAAGGCGTGCGCCACCACTGCCCAGCGGAAAGTCTATTATGTTGAAATTTGTTTTCTCTCACGCTCTGCAATGAAAAACAAATGACATAAGGTACAACAAAAATGATCTTGAAAGTGTCATATGACAAACAGCAGCAGTCGGTAGGTTTGTCCTAGAAAAACAAGGTGTATGTTTCTGTTTGATAATTTGAGTGTTAGTCATTCATTCCCCAACATGAGGTAGATGGCTGTCTATAAAGGATACAGTTCTGTTGATACCACATCAACTGGTCTTCAGTCACATTTTTCTATCTAGATAACAGGGACACTGAACACCTGGAAGCGACCAGAACATCTGTCTCTCTGAAATCGCTGATGTAAACTATCCACGTTTAAAACCAACCAGTTCTTTAGTTCAGTCTTTTCAAATTTATCATGGTTCCTACCAGAGGTCAGCGAGGTAGAATCTCACCCAGTGGGTCTCGGGCAACTTGTAATCAAGTCAGTTACATCCGGATCTGATTTTACTTCCTAATCTGAACTTTTAAATTTTAGACTCCTCTATCCACTCCACAGGAGAGAAAATCAGTTACCCCCAGACCTGGAAGTATCTTTTGAGCACACATCAGGGAGGTTCCAAGCCTGCGCCCCTTTGCAAAGTCCCTGAAACCACCGGGCGGGCGCAGCTCCCAGGTGGGCTGGTCCAAGTGCCACGACCAGCAATCTCTGAACTTCAGAGTACTGCGCTTCCCAGAACTCGCTGGTAAGGACTGCATTTCCCAGGGTCCACCGCGCCGGAAGTAAGGGATCCAATTCCGGTGTCGTGCGTGGGCACCGCGGAAATTGACATTTATGGTCGTTGAAGAAACCAGTTTGGTGTAGGTCTCCACAGAGTAAGGCCGGATCCATCGGGCTGGGTGTGGGTGTGAAGGGTGGTGTGGGGTGGATGGATGTTTATATATGAGTGAGCGTGAGAGGACAGCGATGTGTGTGTGTGTCTGTCTGTCTGTCTATACACAACTTGAGCTTTCTGCATTATTTGTGTCTCTGTGCTTGTCGCTTTCTGCCCCGTTTTTCTTTTTTTCTTGACAACAGAACTGAAGCAGAGGACCAAGCTTCTAGTAAGAAGAGGTCAGGTGCGGAGTCTGCCTGAGGTTCAGAGGAGCTTGAGACGAGCATTTGAGGCCGGAAGTGCCTCCGAGGGTCGCCTAGGAGGGAGGGCACTTGTTGAGCTCCATGACTTTCTCAGAGCTCTAGCCATGTGAGTGTTGTAGGAAGTGAAGGCAAGTGCTGCTCCCTGAGGATGCTCTCGGATATAGTCTGGGACCTCATGCTTCCTTGGGCTCCCCGCAGGCTGTTATGCAAACGGAGAGCTTGAGACCATGAGAGCATTATTGCTTGCTCCCTGTCTAAGATTCACGAGCTAGCGCTCTTTCTGAGAAATGAGGTTGTAGTTTTAGAAAATGCAATTGTTAGTAACTGAAGAAGGAACGTGCAAATTCATATCAATTGTGTCCCTTCCCTTTTCACTTAGTATTCACAGTATCGTTTCAGTGATCCTTGATGTGTTTACAATCCTCCCTTTTCTCAAGCTGTTATAAACAGGAACCTCCAGAGGTTAGTGTTAGGGGTTTTCAGTTGTGTGTGTGTTTGTTTTGTTTTGGTATTAGTACAGTATGATATTTTGGATTCTCTATGTGCTTTGGAATGACTAAATTCATAACGGTTTTGTCGTGAATATACTTACTGTCTAGTCTCTTAGTCTTTCCAAACTGTTAATCGTGTCAGCATGTTTCACGATGTATCCCTTGAGCTGCTGTTGTGTGGCTAAAATTTTAGTCTTTGACCAGCTTCTTCCCAGCGCTCTCTGGATCTACGTCTCCCACTGTCAACCACGATGCTGCACATCGGGCCTCAGCCACTCACACCCCAGGAACCAGCGTTTCACTTGGTCCTGTGAGATGACAGTGTCAGATTTTACATGAGTGAGATTGTGGGACTCAGAGCTTATATTTCTCAACAAGCTTTAAATATTGTAGCTGGACAGATTCTCACTATTCTGCCTGTCTATGGCTGCCTACCACCCAGCCATGTGCCCTTCCTTGGTCCTGTCCTGGCAGCTCCTGCTCCCTCAGTGTTCTCATGGTGACTCCCCTGGCAACTTGGTCATAGATCCCCCCTTCACCCTCTCTGACTTTCTGCTTCCCCTCTCCTGCCCGTCTGTTGGCTGCTCAGCTCTTCTTCTTTCTCCTTCTCTTCTTTCTCCCCCTCCTCTTTCTCCTCCTCCTCCTCTTCCTCCTCCTCCTCCTCCTCCTCCTCCTCCTCCTCCTCCTCCTCCTCCTCCTTCTTCTTTTTCCAAGACAGGGTTTCTCTGTGTACCCCTGGCTGTCCTAGAACTCACTCTTTAGACCAGGCGAACCTCGAACTCAGTAATCCGCCTGCCTCTGCCTCCCAAGTGCTGGGATTAAAGGTGTGTGCCGCCACTGCCCAGCTGACCAGCTCTGTATTAACCCATCAGAGTTGAAGGAAAACAGTTTTTACAGAACACTGAGGCAGGGGATGCTCCAATTAATGATGACAGTACCAGCCAGTGTCCAGACTGTAACCAGATCTCTGGGCACAGAAATCACTACCTGAATACACAGAGTACAAAAGCATCCCCCAACATAAATGTGTGAAGACTCTGAGGAAAGTGTTCCATGGTGCACAGTCCCATTTACTGAGAGTGGGGACAGAAGGCTGGACCCTGCCTGAGCATTGCAGCTGCAGCCCCTCCAGCCTTGCTGTGCTTCAGCCCTGAGTTTACAAAGGAGGTGCCATTTGGATGCTGTAAGCCCCTGTGAGCCTTGATAGTTGGGGTTCCAGTAGGAAGGTCTGCTCACAGTAGGAGGAGCAGCCCAGGTTCAGGGCTAGCTGGATGTCAGGTGGAAGCTGGGTCCCTTGTGCTGGCATCTTCTGGAGGAAGCTCAAGGCAGACATGTTTAGCTCTGCACTCCCACACTGACCTCTTTGCCATGGGTTGTCTGGGGTTAGGAGAGGATGGTCTTTGTGTAGACTCCTGTGTGCTTCTGATCTGTGTGTGGGAGGCTGTGATTGGTGGGAGGGGAGAGAGTGAGTGTGGATGCTGGAGAAAGAAATGTAGTTGTTGAAATGACAGTGACAAAGTCATTCTGGGAACATCAAGTCACAATCCAATGAAAGGCTTCTTTTTGTCCCCAGGGAGGAAGCCTAAAGAAGAATGGCCAGCTCCAATTCTCAACACATGGTCTGTGTAAGTTGTGTGTCTCTCCTTGACATAGGGGGACTTTCAGGTTAGGTGACTCCTTCTTGTCTTTTCCTCTTGAAGCTTCCCACAGATCCAGAATCCCCTCATCCCAGTCTGCCCCTTCACAGTGAGGGTTGGCAGGTCTGAGCACTTCCTGTCTGAGCCTCTTCCCAGCTGGTACTGATGTTGTCTTTGAATGCATTCCTGCACATGTGCTCTCTGCTTGGTCTGTGGTGAGGGAGGACTGTCACTGCAGTAGAGGTGTCAGTCTCACAGGGAAACGGGACTTTGGGGGCTTCAGAGCTTTGAGGTGATGGTCTCATTGACTACACTGGGAAATCTGATTGACATCTGTGGTGCTGTCAGGCTGGTGACCCAGGGTGTGAGAGTGAATGTCATCTGTGCATGTGTGTGACAAGGTGACCTGCTTGAGGAGGCTTTAGGAGGGAGTTCAGGTATCAGGGAAAGGTCACCCTGGCTGTGATAGGGAGGTGATTGCAGTCTCCAGAGTCAGGGAAGACCTGAGACACATTGACTGAATGATATCATGTGATAGTATGATAAACTCAAGCACTCACAGGATTCCTTGCGTAGTTTACCCTGACCCCAGTGACATGTCTCCTTTGTGGGGGATAACCTGAAGGATGTGGATGGAGTGGAGAGGCACAGTTACTGGATATGTAGGTGGGCACAGCCGTCGTTTATGGGGAGTCGTGCAGTCAGGTGCCTTGAGCATTTCCTTATGGCTCCCTTCCCCCGCTTGAGTCCTTTCCCTTCTGTTTTTCCATCTTGAAAGCTTCCCCAATTTCACTCTCCCTGTGTTTGCTCTTTCAGGGGTCAGTGACATTTAGGGATGTGGCTGTTGACTTCTCTGAGGAGGAGTGGGCCTTCCTGGATGCTACTCAGAAGATCTTATACAGGGACATGATGTTGGAGACCTACAGCAACCTCGTCACAGTGGGTAAGGGCTGTGCCCCATGAATGGGGGATGTGTCCTGTACACTGTGTGCTCTCCTCACTTGGAATTAAAGGGCAGTACCATCTTTCCAGTGGTAGCAGAAGCTGGGATGGTGACCAGTTCCTGTCATCGCTTCACTCAGAATGCTGAGTTTGTTTTGAGTGCAGCATCACCCTCAGATACATCCTGAGTTACAGGCCAGCCTAGTCCATAGGGTGAGGACTTTTTTCAAACAAAACAAAACAACACAAAATAAACAAATGAAATAAATTCTGAAATACATCCATAAATATAATCACAGGTTAGAGAGGTAGCGTGGTGGTTAAGAGAACCAGCTGCTCTCATAGAGGACCCATGTTCAATTCCCAGCCCCACAAAGTGACTCACAACCATGTATCACTCCAGTCCCGGGGATCTGACGCCCTCATCTGGGCTCCATAGACACAGTGTGTGTATGTGGTACTCAGTCAGACATGCAGACAGATCTTCACCTACATATAAAATAAATTTTTTTTTTTTTTTTTTTTTTTTTTTTTTTTTTTTTTTTTTTTTTTTGGTTTTTCGAGACAGGGTTTCTCTGTGTAGCCCTGGCTGTCCTGGAACTCACGCTGTAGACCAGGCTAGCCTATAAAATAAATTTTAATCAATAGAGTTTTAAAAGAGGGAGCTGAGTTCCTTCTTCCCAAAGTAAGAATGTAAGTTGTCTTGGGTTGAAAATAAGAAATTCATGAAGCACCTGCTTGTGTCTGCCATTTCTTGGTCCTCTCAGTGAGCTCGAAGTTCAGAGAGAGACCCTGTCTCAAATACTGAAGTGGAGAGAAATCACCAAAGACATATAACACTGGTCTCTGCCCTATCCAGACATGCCTACGTGCATACCTACACACACACACACACACACACACACATCCGTACTTGCACAGCTAAATAAAAGAGCCATTGTGATTTACTTAGTAATGAATCACTAGAGTTGACTAAAACCAGAAGTGGACACATTCTGTTTCCCTCAGTGAACACTTCCTTTACCTGCTTTGTAGAGGAAGTTCTAGGGTGTGAAGTGTGTCTCTCTCACTGAGCACATCTGTAAGAATGAGGTGTGAATTTGTAAGAAGCCAGCATAATAACAATAATGATAGAAAGTCCCATGACTGGGGACATAAGTCAATGATAGAAATCAAGGCCCTAGTTTTATGCCCACCATTACTAAATAAGTAAATGAGAATTTTAGAAGTACTGATTTTGTATTAGTATATAGGTCAGAGAATCTGAGAAGTCTCTGAATATAGTTGTTAATCTTAGTATCGATTCTTGCAAATAGCATTAACTCAGTCTAAATTATTACCTATTATTCTTATTTTTCCTAATTTTGTTTGTTTGAGGCCGGGTCTCACATAGTGCAGGCTGGCTTTGGACTTGCTATGAAATCCAGCCTTGAACTTAAATCACCCTGCTTTCACACTTCAGGAGTTGTGACTCTGTGTGTGCGCCACCATGCCCCCAAGTATTATTTGGGAAAATTGAGCACAGAATCCTACAGGACTTGCCTAAATAAATGTCATTATTAGTGAGCTGCAGAGATGGGGTGTACACTAGTCAGTGTAGCCTACGAGTTCATGTTCTCGATACTCAGTTATGGTTTCTTTCCTCTTAAGTGCCAAGCCCCTATCTGCATTTAAAGGAGATTAAAATCCTAATCTGAAGCAGGTAGATTCTTACCTTTTCCCTCCTTCTTTGAAGTCTTTCCTCATCATTATTTTTGCTTTTATAACTTTTTTAACTGCTTTTCTGAGACAAGGGTCTTGCTCTGCAGCCCACAGGGCCTGGCTCATTCTCCCCATGCTGGGCTCACAGGCATGATCCACCGTGCCAAGCATCACAGACCTTATAATAAATAAGTCTGTATTTTTAAAAAATCTACACAGTCAGGGCATGGAGGCAAACCCCAGCATTTGGAAGGCAGAGGCTGGCAGGTCAAGTAAGTTCAAGGCCAGCCTGGTCTACCTATCACATTCCATTGCATCTTGGGATAATTATAGACACTGAGTCTCAGGGGAAAAAAACCATGTCTACACAATGAGCCACTTCTTTCTTTCTTTCAAGTGGGAAGCTGCATTTCCAAGCCAGATCTGATCACCTTACTAGAGCAGGAGAAAGAGCCCTGGATGGCTGTGAAGGAAGAAACAGACAGGCTGAGCCCAGGTGAGTAAGAGTGAGGTGAGCCTGCAGCCCTGCCAGGCACTGCATGTGCTCAGAGAGGCTCCACAGAGCTGACATTGGATGTGGCAAACTTCCTTCAAAGGCCCAGGGCCTGTGGGAAAGAAGCCTGAGCCCTGGGAAGGAAGTCAAGGTCAGAGCAGAAGCTGTCAGAGGGGCTGCTGTGTCATGAGTCACTTTAAGTTCTCATTTTCTTCCTCCCACTGGAGCAGGTGCCTCTCTGTAACCTTTACAAGTATCTCATTATTGGTTGTGTGTGCACACATGTGTGCAGGTATCCACAGAGGCCATAGAGAGGGTCAGCTCCCTGGGCTGGAGTCACAGGTGGCTGCTGGTACTCTAACCCAGGGCCCCTGGCAGAGCTGTCAGTGTTGTTGACACTGAACCAAAGCTAGGACAGTTTCAGCCGCAGTGAAAGCTGTACCACAGGGAGGCATGGCAAATGCTTCAGTTCTGTGTCCTCATGGTCCCCGTCGACAGGGTGTGATGGTGTGTCCTCTCTGCAGCACTGGGGAGGTGGCAGAGGCAGATCCCTTGGGCTTGCTGGCAAGTCAGCCTCGTGTCCCTGTGCAGCTCCAGCAAATGAGAGAGCCTGACTCAAAACAACAGATGGACAAGCCAGTGAGACATCTGAGTGCATACAGCACAGCTGTCTACCTGGCTTGACAGGGAGCGGTGATGGCTCTTCTTGGTTGTCAACTTGACCACATCTGGAATTAATAGAACCCAAGCAGCTGGGTACACCTGTGAGAGATTTTTGATGATTAAATCATCTGAAGTGGGAAGACCCACCTTTGATCCACATCTTTTGAGGTGGGAAGATCCACCTTAAATCTGGGCCACGCCTTGTGGTGCAGCCTGTGAAAAGGCTGGGAAGGAAGCTGTGCTCTTTGTCTGCCTCCCTCACTCTGCTAGCTAGTCTAGTGCCTCACTGGTTTCTTTTTTTTTTTTTTTTTTTTTTTTTTGCTATTATGAATCAAGCAGCAATGAACATGTTTGAGCAAGTGTCTCTGTGAAAGGATCAGTGTCCTTTGAGTGTGCGCCCAAGGGTGGTCTGTCTGGATCTTGTGTAGATCGACTCTCGCCTTACTGATGAGTCTGCACATTGATTTTCATAGCAGCAATACATGTTTGCACTCCCCCTAGGAATGGGAGTGTATCCCCTTACTCCGCAGGCTGCCAGCATGAGTGTTTACTTGTTTTATTGATCTTAGCCATCTTGACAGGCGTGAGATGTAGGCATTAAGTAGGTTGATTGATATTTCCGTGATAGCTAAGGATACTGAACTTTTCTTCAAGTGTGTCTCCGCCGTTTGACCTTCATCTTTTGAGAATTCTCTCTTTCTCTCTGTACCCTGTTGTCTAATTGAGTTACTTGTTTGCATGATAGGTAGTTTTTTTTTTTCCATCCTGTGTATATGTTGGATGTTAGCCCTCTGTTGGATGTGTAGTTGGTAAAGTCTTTCTCTATTCTGTAGGCTGCCCCTTTTTTTAAGTGATAGTTTCTGTACAGAAACTCTTTTAAGTTTCCTCTATGCCTGTGTCTTCCTGTGCTGATGAATCGAGTCTCTTTCCTACTTTCTTTCTCACCAGGTTCAGTGTATGTGACTTTATGTTTGGATCTTTGATCTATTTTGAGTAATGTTTGTACAGAATGATAATTATGGTTCTGTTTGCATTCTTGTACATGCAGCTGTGCTTTTTGTCTGGCCCCATTTGTTGAAGATGCTGTCTTTTTTACAGTGTGTATTTCTGGAGGCTGCTGCTGCTTCTTTAAGAGTTTATTTATTTATTTATTTATTTATTTAATATGTGAGTACACTGTCTTCAGACACACCAGAAGAGGGCGTCGGATCCCATTACAGATGGTTGTGAGCCACCATGTGGTTACTGGGAATTGAACTCAGGACCTCTGGAATATCAGTCAGTGCTCTTAACCGCTGAACCATCTCTCCAGTCCCCTATTTCTGGCATCTTTATCAAATGTCTTGTGTCCATAGTTATGTAGATTTATTTCTTCCATTTGCTTCCCTTGATCAATGTGTCTTTTTTTTTTTTGTGCCACTCCCGTGTTTTGTTAATTACCGTAGCTCTGTAGTACCGATGGAGATGGGGGCGACAATGCCTCCTGCACCTCTCTTGTTATTCAGAATTATTTTTAGCTACCTTGGGATCTTTTTGTGTTTTCATATGAAGATGCAGTTTGGCCTTTTGTGATATGTGGAGAATTGGATTGGAATGTTGGTCGAGATTCCATCAAATCTGTATGTTGCTCTTGATAGAATGGCCAAGTTAAATTAATTCTCATGATCCATGGACATGGAAGGTCTTTCCATATTCTGATATCTTTTTCAGTTTCTTTCTTCCGTGTCTTACTGCTTTATATCATACACATTTTTCACTCGCTTGGTTAGAGTTACCCTGTGATATTGTATGTTAGCTGAGGCTATTGTGAAAGGTGTTGTTTCTGTGATTTCTTTCTCTGTCTCAGTCCATTTGTCTTTTGTATCTAGGAAAGTTACTGATTGTTGTGAGTTCATTTGGTACCAGCTTCTTTGCTGAATGCGTTTATCAGCTGTAAGAGTTCCCCATTGGGCCGGGCGGTGGTGGCGCACGCCTTTAATCCCAGCACTTGGGAGGCAGAGGCAGGTGGATTTCTGAGTTCGAGGCCAGCCTGGTCTACAGAGTGAGTTCCAGGACAGCCAGGGCGACACAGAGAAACCGTGTCTTGAAACCCCCCCCCCCAAAAAAAAAAGAGTTTCCCATTGGAGCCTTCAGGGTCACTTATGTACGCTGTCACATCATCTGCAAAACAAGATACTTTGACCTTTTGAATTTGCATTCCTTTCATCTTCAGTTGTCTTAGTGCTCTAGGTAAAACTTCAAGTACTTTCCTGAGTAGGTATGGAGAGTTTGGACAGCCTTATCTTTTTATGGATTTAAGTGTAATTGCTTTGAGTTTCTCCATTTAAGGTGATGCTGTCTTTGGGCTTGCTGTATACTGCCTTTATTTTGTTGCAGTGTCTGTCCCTGGTATCCCTAATCTCTCCAAGACCTTTATCCTGAAGCCATGTTGTATGTTGTGAAAGGAGCGTTCTGCTTTTAATGAGATGATCCTGTGTCTTTTGACTTTTATTTTGTTTATAGGATGGGTAACATTTATTGATTTATTTATTTCAAACCATCCCTGGATCTTTGAGATGAACATACATGATCTTCTTGAGTGTTGTACAGTTCAATGCTCAAGTATTTGATTGAGAATTTTTGTACCTATGTCCATCAGGGGCGGATAAGGGGTGGGAAAAAAGAAGAACCCACAAAGTAGCAAAGACCAGCTACAGCTCTGCCCTCCTTTCATCTCTGATAGTGTGAATGTGCGTCTTCTCTTTCTGCCTCTCAGTTAATTGGCTAAGGGATTGTCAGTCTTACTGATTTTCTCAAAGAACCAGCTCTTTGTCTCCTTGAGTCTTCATGTCTGTTTTTCTTTGATTCTTTTTTATTGATTACAGTCCTGAGTTTAATTACTTCTTATGGTCTCTTCCTTTTGGGTGTAATTTCTCCTTCTGTTTTTTGTTTGTATTGTTTTTGTTTTTTATTTTTTTGTTCTAAAGCTTTTTGTTCTGGTTAATTTAGAGTGAGATCTCTCTAATTTCTTTTTATGCAAGTGCATATTGCTATGAACGTGCTTCATAGACCCGCCTTCATCATGCCCTTAAATTTGGATGTGTTATGTCTTCATTTTCATTCAATTCTAGGGAGTCCTTAGTCTCCCCCTCAATCTCCACTGTCTTAACCCAATTTTCATTGAGTAGTGTGTTGTTCAACTTCCATGAGTTTTTAAGCTTTGTGTTTTTCTGTATTTTATTTAGTTTTTTCCATTTATTTATTTATTTATTTATTCACTTACTTTACGTTCCACTCATGGCCCCTCCTCCTCCCAGTTCCACCCTCATAAACCCTTCCTCCCACCTCATGCTCTCCTTAGAGAAGGGGAAGTCTTCCATTGATACCCACCTGCCCTGGCTCATCAAGTCCCAGCAGAGTTAAGGGCATCCTCTCCCACTGAGGCCAGACAGAGCAGCTCACCCAGGCAAGAGGATCCACAAGCAGGCAACCGAGTCAGAGAACCCCCCCCCCCCCCCGCTCCAACTGTTAGAGAACCTCACGAAGACAAAGTGCATTGCGCATCTGCTACAAATGTGCAGGGGCCTAGGGACAGCCCCTGCGTGCTCTTTAGTTGGTGGTTCAGTCTCTGTGAGCCTCCACGGGCCCAGGTTACTGAACTCTCTGTAGGACTTCTTGTGGTGGCCTTGACCTCTCCAGCTCCCTTAGTCGTCCTGCCTCCCCCTCTTCCACAGGACTTCCCGAACTCTGCCTATGTTTGGCTGTGGGTTTCTGCCTCTGCCTCCATCCACTGCTGAATGAAGCCTCTCAGAAGACCATGATGTTAGTCCTCTGCCAGCACAGCAAAGCATCATTAATAGTCGTGAATAATCAGGGGTTGGCTCTCTCCCATGGGAGATGGATCTCAAGTTGGACTAGTCATTGGTTAGCCATCCATAACTTTCTGCTCCACCTTTATCTCTGTGACCCTTAGACGAAGGTCACATTTTGTGTAGAAGGTCTTGTGGGTGGGTTGATGCCCCACTACCTCCCATTGAAGACCTGCCTAACTACAGTAGGTGGCCACTTCAGTCTCCATATTCCCGGCTGCTAGAGTCTCAGCTAGGGTCATCCCTATAGACTCCCAGGACCCTCCCCTGTCCAAGGTCCCAGGCTAGTCCCAGAGAGGCCCCCACCACAAATTTCCATTTTCTCTCCCATTCCTGTTCACGCTTGAGCCATTGGTGTTCTGTTCAGAGGTTGTCTCCTGTGCCAGTGTGTTCAAGGTAGTTCCCCACTTTTTATTCTTCAGATTTAGTGAATCCCATTTTGTGTTGAGGTCTTTGATCCACTTCAGCTTGAGTTTTGTACATGGCGCGATGAATATGACTGTATTGGCGGTCTTCTACATGCAGACATCCAGTTAGACCCGCACCATTTGTTGAAGGTACTTTCTTTTTTCCATTGTATAGTTTTAACATCTTTGCTGTGTAGGTTTATTTCTCAATCTTTGATTCTATTCCATTGATCAACTCATCTGTCTTTATGCCAGTATCACGTGGTTTTTATTCCTATTGGTCTGTAATACAGCTTGAAATCAGGAATGATGATACCTCCAGAGGTCCTTTTATTGTACTGAATTGCTTTATCTATCCTGAGGTGTTGTTATTGTTGTTTGTTTTTTTCATACGAAGGTGAGGATTTTTCTTTCAAGGTCTGTAAAGAATTGTGTCGGAATTTTCATGGGAATTGCATTGAATCTGTAGATTGCTTTTGATAAGTTGGCCATTTTACTATTTTGATCCTACCGATCCAAGAGATGGGAGATCTTTCCGTCTTCTGATATCTTCTTAAGTTCCTTTCTTCAGAGACTTGAAGCTCTTGTCACACAGGTCTGTTTCTTGCTTGGTTAGAGTTACACCAAGATAATTTATGTTATTTGTGGCTAATGTAAAGGGTGCTTTTTCCTTTATTTATTTTTCAGCCCGTTTATCGTTTGTATAGGGGCTATTTTTTTAGTTAATTTTGTATCCAGCCACTTTACTGAGGGTGTTTTTGTAGAAGTTCTCTGGTAGAGTTTTTGAGGTTACATATGAATCCTAACATATGACCTGCAGATACTTTAACTTCTTCCTTTTCAATTTGTATCTTCTTGATCTCCTTCAGTTGTCTTACTGCTCTAGCTAGAACTGCAAGTACTACACTGAAGAGACAGGGAGAGAGCGGGCAGCCTTGTCTTCTCCCTGATTTTAGTGGAATTGCTTTAAATTTTTCTCCATTTAATTTGATGTTGGCTAGTGGCTTGCTGTATATGGCCTTTATTGTGTTTAGGTATATAACTTGTATCCCTGATCTCCAACACTTTTATCATGAGGGTGTTAGATTTTGTCAAAGGCTTTTTCGGTATCTAATGAGATAACATGTCATTTTCTTTTCTTTCAGTTGGTTTGTATGGTGGATTACATTGATGGGTTTTTGTATATTGAGCCACCCCTGTATCCCTGGGGTGATATGTACTTGACCATGGTGGATGATGTTTTTGATCTGTTCTTGGATTTTGTTTGCAAGTATTTTATTGAGTATTTTTACATCAATGTTCATAAGGGAATTTGTCTGAAATTCTTTTTCTTTATTGAATCTTTGTGTGCCTAGATTGTAGTACAACCAATTTAAACTTATTCCCCTCTAGCTTACAAACGAATGAGACACAGGCTATGGTTATTTTATTTGGCTTTGACAATTACTGGAGGGTAACCCCTAATCTACTCTTCTAACTGCTGGCCTGGCTACCTCCCCAGCAATGTACCTCAGATACTTGCTGTTTCTCCTGGCTACATGCTCGTGGTCTGTGTCCTCTCGTGGTGGCTTCTTCCTTTCCTCTCGTTCTTCCTCCTTCTCTTCCTGGTCTTCTCCCTCTCCCCCCCCCCCTTCTCTTGCTTCTATACCCCCACACTCCTAACCATGTAACTCCAAACCCACCTACCTCTAATACCTCCAGTAATTGGCTGTTGCCAGTTTTATTTAACCAACAGTTTTAAATCGAGGAACAAGGTTTGCACAGTAAAAGTTTGTAAATGTGAGAATTCACTTGTTGGCCTAGACCTTCACATACAGAATTCAGCATTACAATACACAGCAACAGACCAAACCTCAGTTCCCCTTTTTTGTCTTAAAAAAAAGTTCTTTCTCTTATAATAATAAACAACATACCCTAGGAACAATTACAAAGTTATTATGAAAATTATTAGGTAAAAGTTAACATTTTAAAAGTCCTGTGTGTTTGTATTTGGCAATTCAGGAAAAAGTATTCTTTTATCTATCCTATCCTGGTGAATTCAGAGTTCTCTATCTAGATTAATTTCTATCCTAACTTGTAACGGCCGTTTCTTTTGTAACGGCCGTCAGGTTCTGTTACTTTGTAAAGGCCGGCCGGTTCTGCTGCTCCGGTCGGCAGGTCAG